TGTAATAGGACATGCAGAAGGAATGTCTGCTGGACTTCCCGCCGGGCTCTCCTCTCTTCTCAGGATGCAACGTGGAGAACGCCTGCTACCCGCTGGGTGTCTGTGCCGAACGGACCGCCCTCCAGAAGGCCATCTCGGAAGGGTACAAGCGTTTCAGGGCAATCGCTATCTCCAGGTGAGTGAGAGCAGGCTGCAGCAGTACGCATTCGTCTTCAGCCGTCATCCTCCGTGCAGATATTACTCCTTCCTTCATCCAGCTGACATCTGTTTACGCAGCCTTCTATGTACCAGGCCCCGTGCAGGACTCAGGGCCGGGTGCTGGGGACAGGAGGCAGACAGGAAAGCTTACGGAGCAGGAAAACAGCCCAGGCAACTGTAGTTTAGGGTAGGTGCGTTCCTGTCCCACAGCACAAAGTATATCAGAAGCCCAGCGAGACACCATGGGAAGGCAGCGTAGAAACCTAAACCTGGAGGCACCCCAAAGTCACCTGGTATAGACTCCCCTGCCACCACCACCCCAGCCCCATTATTTAGGCTTTTGTCATAGGGCACGTTTGCTTGTCAGAGAGAGACAGAGAGTGATAGAGAGAGGAAAGGTAAGAAATCCCCCCCGGGGAGGATGGCCACACCACAATCCCTTCTCCTCCAATCTCCTCTCCGGATTTTGGGCATGGACAGACACTCACCTGATGTGATTCTCAAGGCACTGGATCTGGGACTCAAACCCCCAGTCAGCCATGTGGAACCCAGCACCTTAACCACCATGCCACCTGCTGGTCCACTACCCCCATTTTACAGCTGGAAAAACTGAGGCAGCTTTCTTGGGAGAGCCAGAACAAAACCCAGGCCCCAGAATTTCACTCATTCTACTGAGCCCTGTGGGCCCAGAGGTCAGGCGCTTTTCCCTGCTCCCCTTGGGCTCACTCTGGGATCCTGAATGAGCCGCGCAGGACTGTGGACCCCTTCATTCTGCAACGCTCACCTCTAGGTGCCAGAATCTGAATTCAAGACCAGCTGTGGGGTGACAGCCCAGGAACACTGGAGTGGTTCAAACTAATCAGCTCGTCCTGTTCTGGTTGAACGTGAGCCCGGTCACCTCCCTCTGCATGCCCTAAACTCGAACAGCCTGCTCCCGGGGCGCACCCTCGAGGGGAGCACGCTGAGTCCTGTGGCTGCAGCAGGCTGGGTGGTTTTAGGATCCAGGCATACAAATGAGCTCTCCTACTGATTTGGCCCCACTGATTTACCGTAATGGCGAATGGCTCCCGTGTGTACCTTCACATTGTCTCTGAGGGAGGGTTTTCTTAGCCAGTTAGTGATACAATGACATGGGGGATGTTTAACCACCAGAAAGAGCCTGCGTGGCTGATCAAGGGCCGTCTGGAGGGACATCTGGCTTCACAGGCCCCAGTCCCTGCGTGAATTCTCTCCTCCCCATGGTGGGCCACAGCACCTTTCTGGAAGAAATGGAAGCCCCTTAGAGCAAGGCCAACGGGGCCCTGCGACAGAAGCAGGCCCTAAACATGGCCTTGGACTGGCTTTCGGAGGGGTCCGGCTCATTCCAGGTCTGTTTCTGAGAAAGCAGAGCCCTGAGTGCACCTTACAGAGAAGACCCCTGCTTCCAGGAGCCTTCCCCGTGACCCGGGTCTGTCTGGCCTCCCTTCAGCTTTGGGAGGAGTAAATGAGGCTGCTCTGGGAACATCGTGTGCAGACGAGTGGAGATCAGGATGTGAATTGCACTTTATGATAAAAAGGGGGGGAAATAACTCAATTTCAAAACTGATCCAAGAAAATAATAACATTCTGTGGAAAAAAACAAGCCAAAGTCAAAAAGTAACCTTGCAGTAACCTTGCTCTGTTTAGAATTTTCCAAATGAAAGGCTTTTTCTCTTGGTCATTATCTACTTTTAAACATGACTGGGTATTGCTAGCAACGATTAGAAAATGTCCTTATTTGCACAGAAGCTGCCTTTTCTCAGCACCCGACTGCTCTGCCCTAGGTATCCAGCTCGGATTGGCATCCCTGAGTCAGAAAGGCGGCCCTGATCGGGCTCATGGTTTGTTAAGTCGAGAGCAAGGATTTAGAGGACGGATGGGAAATGCCAGCTCCCTTGTCAACACTGGATGGGGCTGAGCCTCCCGAGAGCCCCTCCGAGACCTCGCAGGACAGGACCACACTGAGGAAGGCACATGCATCTGCAGAGCCCAGGCTGGGAAGCTGCAGAGAGATAAGCTCACACCGCCCCCCACACTGGGGTCTCAGCTGTAGTCACCACAATCGATGGGTTTCCAGCCTGTCAAGTCTGATAAGCGTGGCCTCGGTGTGTGACCAAGGTCAGCACAAACTATAGAAAACAGCACATGCCCAGCAAAAGGCAGGACATGGTGAAGGGCAGGGGAGGGAGAAAGGGGGGAGCATGAAAGAACTATCCTGATGCAACCTGCAGTTCGGCTTTAAGTGCTCACCCTTGGCAGGAATGTTGAGTTATGAATGGTTCAAAGCCCAGACTCCAGGGCGGTGAGACCTGCTTCCCGATCCTGCTCTGCTGCCACCCTCAGGCATGTTGTCAGACTCCCCTCTCTCTCTTTTTAAGTTTATTTATTTAAGTTTCACTATAGAGTATGTGCACTCACCAGAGAAAAAAGGAAATAGGAAATCACCCCCGGGGGAGCATGGCCACACCACAATCCCTCCTCCTCCACTCTCCTCTCACGTCCAGTGTGTTTCTCAAGTTGCCAGGTCCAAGACTTGAACTGTGCAGCCTGCTATGTGGGATCCAGCTGCCTTAACTTCCATGCCACCTGCTGACACCTATTTCTCAGAGTCTCTGGTTCTTGTTACAGTTAGAGCTTGGACTTAGGGTTATGTTGACTGGTTAGGGCTAGGGTGAGGGTTTGGGTTCTGGTGACAGGTGGTTGAGTGTTACGGTTAAATTTAGGTTTAGGGCAAGAGCTGGGGTGAAGAGTGGGGTTAGGGTTCAGGTCCGGGCAAGGCTTCAGTTTGGGCCAAGTTTGACCATTAGGTTTAGGAGTCAGGGTTATGGTTGGGCGATAGAGTCAGGGTTAAGGTGAGTTTTACGGTAAGGTTAGGGTGAGTGTTAGATTCAGTGTTAGGATTAGGAGTGAATATTATGTTCAGGGTTGGGCTTTAGGCGTGGGTTTGGGTCTGGGTCAGGATTGGCATCCCTGAGTCAGAAAGGCGGCCCTGATCGGGCTCATGGTTTGTTAAGTCGAGAGCAAGGATTTAGAGGACGGATGGGAAATGCCAGCTCCCTTGTCAACACTGGATGGGGCTGAGCCTCCCGAGAGCCCCTCCGAGACCTCGCAGGACAGGACCACACTGAGGAAGGCACATGCATCTGCAGAGCCCAGGCTGGGAAGCTGCAGAGAGATAAGCTCACACCGCCCCCCACACTGGGGTCTCAGCTGTAGTCACCACAATCGATGGGTTTCCAGCCTGTCAAGTCTGATAAGCGTGGCCTCGGTGTGTGACCAAGGTCAGCACAAACTATAGAAAACAGCACATGCCCAGCAAAAGGCAGGACATGGTGAAGGGCAGGGGAGGGAGAAAGGGGGGAGCATGAAAGAACTATCCTGATGCAACCTGCAGTTCGGCTTTAAGTGCTCACCCTTGGCAGGAATGTTGAGTTATGAATGGTTCAAAGCCCAGACTCCAGGGCGGTGAGACCTGCTTCCCGATCCTGCTCTGCTGCCACCCTCAGGCATGTTGTCAGACTCCCCTCTCTCTCTTTTTAAGTTTATTTATTTAAGTTTCACTATAGAGTATGTGCACTCACCAGAGAAAAAAGGAAATAGGAAATCACCCCCGGGGGAGCATGGCCACACCACAATCCCTCCTCCTCCACTCTCCTCTCACGTCCAGTGTGTTTCTCAAGTTGCCAGGTCCAAGACTTGAACTGTGCCGCCTGCTATGCGGGATCAAGCTGCCTTAAC